GCTGTGATTGGTTGGGGTGAGAGAAATATCTGTTTTCTGCAGAGCCCTATTACACCCACTCTCTCCACTCAACCAACCTTTGTCTGCTGTGACGTGCCTGGGAATACCGTAATTATCCTAATATCACTAAAAAGACCAGCGTCGCTGCTTTTAGGAAGCCCTGAAATTCTGTCAATTGAGAAAATAGTACCAGAGTTACAGGTTTTACAGATGTTCAAAAGTGCAAAGTGCCTGTCTGGCAACAGGTTAGGCTTTAGCCAGTTACATTTGGCAGCGTGCTGACGTCTAATGGCAGCTAACCCATTAGCTATTACTAGCTTGATGAACATCTACACCATCAGAATGTTATTAAATGTGCGTGTATAAGGTTACAACAACACATACTCGTTCACTAGCACAATTAAACACAGACAGCTTACCCAGGAGATAAAATACTGTCACAACTATTTTTTATTTTGCCTTCCACTAACATCGGTTATCACAACATCACAAAATAATACTAAGACTAACAAAATAATCGATAGCTGCAGCTCCCTTTAAGTAAGACAAATATGCAAACATCATAAAGTGGTAAAGTACTGTATCTGGGTTATATCCAGGTTAGGCTAGCAGCTAACAGAGACAGGAGCTGTCTACAGGCAGAGAGCAGCTACAGACCTTTTCCCTCTCTTGGCCTCTTCTTGATGCCCAGATCGAAGGAGCCGTTGGAAGAAGGCTGGTGTGTCTTAGCCTTACGTCCACCTGTACAAACCCACACATAGATCGAGCTTATTCTTCTGCCACATTGTCTGTTAAGCTGATTGACTTTTCATACTTTATGTTACCTTACTCCACTCATAAGCTCTTGGCATACGGCAGCTTTCAGAGGAAGTTGTCTTTATTGAACTACCTCGTTTGTACTAACACAGCTTCATGCTTTAAATAGAGCTGCCTACTGTTGCTTTAAAGTTGTACAGCTTTAGAATGAAAAACTGAACATCAGAAAACAAAATAAAAGGTGACAACAGGTGAGCTGTGCTGACACTGACCTCCTCTCTTCTTCTTGGCTACAGGTTCACAGCCAGGAGGGATGGGGAAGCTCTCTTCCTCCATGGGTCCACACTCTGTAGACACCTCCACCACCGTTTCCATCATCACATCATCTGCTGAGGTAACACAAAACAACACTATTCTCCTTCTGCTGCATCATGAAGTGAGACAGACATGAAGACTTTCAAACTGTGTACAACAATAAATCTGGCTCTTCTCATAAGAAGAGGAACACTTACAAAGGCTGGATATCGACCAGTTGAATTTGAAGGAGGCAGGAGGGCCAAAACAAAAAACGCATGCTCATATCAATCCATTCATCCATGCATCACTCCAGCCACCTCCTATAGCTCATCCGGGGGGACACGGACATGTTCCCCATCAAGCTACGAGATATAATCTCTCCAGGGGCATACCCAGGACTGTCCGGAGGCATCCTAGTCAGATCCCCAAACCACACTGACTGGCTCCCTCAGTGGCCTCAATGTAAGTTTGCAACTTTTCTATTTTTACAATCATTTATGTTTCTCATTTTATTGAAGTCAGCTGTATGACCAATTTTAAAAAGCAGGCAGTAACTGGTTCAGTGTTACCCAGTAAACTCTTGTTTTTATACCACAATGGTTCACTTATTGCTTTTTCTACATTAATTTAATGTTATGTTGTTATGCGGGAAAAGAACATTAATTTATTAGAATTTATTTATTTTAAATTATTTGTCATGTACATACAGTTATCATCTCTAAAACCTTGTAACCTTTCAGCATTCAGCACAATATCAACATCAACTTTTGACTAGTTGCTTAAATCCATCCTTTTCTCCATGTAACAGCACCCGTCACGTCCATCTACTGTCAGTCATGTTTCTGTCGTCTGTACTGTCTGTTAGTCAAACCTCCTTATATTAAGAGTAAATGTGGAACTGTCCATGGGATGGCTGCTGCTCAGTAGGTAAAGCAGCTCATCAGAAGGTTATTCCCTCTGTATGCTAAATATCCTTGGGCAATGCACTAACCCCAAGTTGCTCTTCGATGCATCCATCATATGAATGTGTGGAAAAGTTAAACAGAAAGTACTTAGAACAAGTGCTCGTGTGGGAAGTTGTGTAAAGCTCTGAGTGCTCAGAGTAGAAAAGCGCTATATAACAACCAGTCCATTTACCAAAGCATCACTATATCACTGATATCATGATATGAAACTTTTATGTTGATTAAACATTTATCCCTGTATTGTTGCACACAATCCAATATGGCACCACCCTCATGGACACTGCAGGTAA